GAAAAGAAGAGATAACATAGTAATGATACAATTAATTTGAAAATAATGTTATCGGTAGCGGAAATATTGTCGAATTTGTATTAAAATTTTGCTTTTAAATATTTGCTTTTGAATTTGATTTGGTCAGCTTGAAGATTATACTAATTTAACGCATTATTTAGTTCTTCTTTAGAAAATTTATAGTCTAAATTTAGGTGGCGCACTTGCTTTGCCTTTATGGAAAGTTCATATAGAAATTTTTTCTTACATGACATTGGAGATGTATTGTACAGTACTTTACCTTTGGAGTCATAGAATAGTTACTTATTTAGGAATATAATTACTTATTCAGGGTCCTTTGTATGGTAAGTGTTCTGAAACGTTAGCTAACAACTAAACCAAGTTTAAAGTAAACTGTCAATTTTCATCGAATCTGAATATTAACGATTTTATAGGCACAAAATGCGAATTTTTCAAGACCCTTTGTGTGGGACGTATACCAAATATTGGTCCGATCTATTGCCAATTTTCGTTGAATTTGGTTGAAAATTAAAGATTTTATAGTCCAAAAAGGTGAAATTCTCAAGAACCACTATATGGGTGGTATAGCAAATCTTGGTCCGATCTATCTAGTTTTTTTTGTCAGTTGCTTTACAGGCATAAGTAGATAAAAATTGCCAATTTTCATAGACTTTGGTTGAAGATTAAATATTTTATAGGCCAAAAAGGGTAAAATTCTCAAGACCCACTATATGGGAGGTATACCAAAACTTGGTCCGATCTATCCAATTTTTTGTCAGTTGCTCTTTAGGCCAATACGTCCATCTACGATAACTCCTTCTATTTTTGGCCGCAGTTGCTATGAACTAGCGACAAAGTGCGCCATAATAAAACGAATGCCATCAGTTTTGAAATTCAGACAAGAAAAGTGCTGGCCAACAGACGCTACCATGGTTTAAGTAAGCAATTCAAAAACGAGCCCACTTCTCGCCAGACCAAACTCAGACTCTACAAGACGCTTGTGTATGGATAAGAAGCATAAGCAGTGGAGGTAGCTCTTGGAGTGTTTCAGAGAAAACATATCCGAAAGATCTACTGGCCGATCTGCGTCGACGGTGAATAACGGCGTCGAATAACCAAGAGCTTTACCATCTATACACAGACATCGCCATAGTCAGACGTATCGAGCTGCAGCGACTACGGTGGCTTAGTCATGTTGTCCGAATGGATTAGGGTGTCCCAGCTCAAAAAGCACAAACAAACGAGCACACTGATGGTTCACGCCGAAGGGGACGGCCACGAATTCCATGGAAAGATCAAGTCGAGGATGACATATCAAAGTGTAGTCTTTCAAATTGGAAAAACTGTGCACAATATCCACACGTCTGGAAATCTATCTTAGGTTCTGCTTATGAAATATTCTGTCTAAAGCCAGCTATGTAAGTAGTAAGTAATATGTTTTTGACCCTTCAAGAACGCGGGACCCCAAAATTGGTTAGAATTTTGGTCTAGACTTTAAATATATCGATAATGGGACGGAACTATTATATGGATAAATTACAACATTTGAACACTTTGATAGGAAAAATTTCCTTTATATTGGGGATACATACAAATTTCTTGGTAATATGTTTTTCGTCCTCCAAAAATGCGGAATGCCAAACAACAAATCTTAATAAATTCAGTGGTGGCCAATGCTCGATCAAAAACGATGGTCGTCCAAAAACGGCCGTTTTTGGATATAACATGCTTGAATTGATAATGCAAGGTCGCCGCGTAACACCAAATCTTGGTATCTTGATACAACAAGGCTTCAGGCAAACAATCGTAAGACTAACAATGTCAGAATTCGTAGACCCCTATACATATTTACGTATAACTCCCACATTCGAGTACATACATCGTCATATCCGGTAAATGCCATCCAACCAACTAAATATTGGCCGATTATCATAAGAAGGGTCATGCTTATTTCATGGAGAAGGGGATCTTCTCTGTGTAAAATTTCCTAGTGTTCGCGTCATAATAATACCTTCTAGAGCGACCAAAAACAGGCAAAAAATAAGTTTTTGATTCATTCCTTTCCCTAAATATAAACGATTGACCCATAAATGTGGCCTGAACAGTGTTTACAAATTATAATGAACAGTCTGCCTGTCCATGTCTAGATCGACTCAAATAGTCGTGATATAATAGTAGAAATATACTAAAGGGGGGATCTAGGACAAATATTTCACGGTGTTAAAAATTCTTGTGGCTACGCAAAGTAATAATACTATTACAACATAGTTGTGTAGGGTATAATGACAGTTTGCATCGCATTCCACGTACATAATTTTCAATATTTCCGAAATATTACGAAATTCTTATAAAATAATCAGTGCCAAACGAAAGAGTGTTAAAAATCTCTGTGTCAAGAACAAAAAAGAACATTGTTCTGTTTTCGTTAAGGTGAATATTTGTGTTTTCTATTCAAGTCTACATGTATATTAAACATATTGTTTACGTAAATAAATATTATACATTAAAAAAAAAAAAAATAATCCACCCAAGTAATAAAAGTTTTTTGTTGTTTCACTTATAATCGGATTTTATTTTTTTTTCTTTCAAAAACGTTTGGCATTCGAAAATCTATTTAGCTAGAATTCAATTTCAATACACATAACATTTGAGAAGAACGTAATGGAATCTAGTTAATGACTTTGCAACAAAACAAACTACTTTTGTTAATTCTGCTCTTTATACATCGCCCGATGTTTAATATCAATAACAATAATTGAAAGAATTTTCTTAAACGACTGTAACGATGGACTTGAGCCAACAGACATGTATCGCAATCGAAATAGAAATAACCCAATTGTAGCATTGTCCAATTTAAAGGTTTATTCCTAGAAATCAAATAAAAAATTATTCACGTCTGGAGTCAAAGTTTCGCTTAGGTAGGAAAGAATTATCAGTAAGAGTCATCGACAGATGATTTAGATTTATTTCGAACTATTTAATTTATTTTATAATTTATGGATCAGATATATGAATTCGTAGCAATAATATTTACTCAGGTCCAAATTCAGAGTAGAATGAATAGTATGGACAACGACCATAATCGTAGTCGCTAAAAAATAGTGCTTACAAAATTATACACTTTTATCGGCATTTTATACGTCGGAAGGTAATCTAGAAAGGCGTGACAATATTTCCCATATCCAAGACATTGGAAAATATTCGTGTTAAGATTATACAAAATCCTTTCATTTTAGGTATTTTATGTCTGAAAATATACAAAAACTCAAAAATCTATCTGAACGTGAAACTTTTTTGTAGAACATTCTGACCTGGATTACTCGGAAAAGGGGACCGAAAATACCTCTTCAGAGGGTTAACGTATAAGACAAAAATATTCCTCACACGTGTATCAGTAATATTGCCAAAGACAACATATAGCTAAAGTGCAAGGATTTCGAAAAATGTTAATCCGAATTTTTGTATACCCTACACAACAATATTGTCAGGGTATTATAGCTTTGTGCAGCCCCAAGAGTTTGTAACGCCACCTTTAAGATCTAGCATGTGTCTGTCTGTCAGTATAATTTGTAAACACGCTACAGGCCACAGTTATGGACCAATAGTCCCAAAATGCAGTGTAATGGTAATGATCCGTTAATAATTAGGGGATGAAACCAAAAACTATTTTGTTGTCGGTTTTTCGTACGCTCTAGAGGCCACAATTACGACCCGAACATGACGAAATTATATATGGAAAAGGGAATCTTGCCAAGGAATAAGTTGGCTCTTTTCGTTATAATCGGCCAATATTTAGCGGGTAAAATGGACCCATACTTGTGGGTAAAAAATTACAACATTTGTATTCCGGGGCGTATATAGACCCGAGGACTTGATTGATAACAATTATATTGTTGTATGTACTCGGATGTGAGAGCTATGCGTAAATATTTAAAGGTTTCTATGTGTTATTATATTGTTTAGAATTAATATGACCTCCACTAAATGGGGGAAATGTCGCGCTGATCGCTATGAGATTTTACATGAACGTCTATAATATTCGGTAAAGTTGAGATGATATTGAGGGGGGGCGCAATAAACCGAAAACTTTAATTTTGTCAGATTTTCTAGTCGCTCTTGAGGCCATTATTGAATGCAGAACATCACATATTTTACACGGTGAAGGTGGTCTGACCAAATAGCAAATCAACCAAAACCTCACCTCGAGAAAAGATTACCAAGCCTTTTTAGGTTACTCCCGACGTAAGCTTTCAAAACGCCGATACACGTGTTTTTTTATTTTTAGCACCTCTATCATATTTTTTTGGAATTTCCCGATAATTATCAAAAAATTGATAACGGTACCTCACAAATCTAGTTGATTTACGATGTTCGGACACTTTTTTCATACGAATTGGACAATTTTTAATGATAGCCGAAATGTAGCGGTATCTTATAGGCTATAGTTTGGTATTTTGAATTATCATTGGGTATCACATATTCTCGCCATGAATTATCAACATTGGGTATCAAATCCAAAAATTTACAGTGGTGGGAGGGCATAAACATAACGACGTTTTTATTTGTTTTTTTTTTTCATAGGAACATTTTCCTCCAAGGTCCATGCTTGGACATAGCCTACATATAAGACCCTAACCGATTTTTGGTATTTTTAATGCTATCTCTTGGTGGAATATATAAAGAGTTCGTTGAGTGTTCGAACATGCGGATATATTGCCACGTATAAATTTTGTATTGAAACCGTACTAAATTGTTTGAAACATCGATATTTCGATAAGGCATATACTTGATCGCTGATATGTGTATGCACCTATTAGACTCAAGACTAATTTAGTAAAATTTCGCACATTTTAGAATCACATCCAAAGTTTCCAAATACATTGTAAGTACGGAATTTATGCGAATTACACACGTTGTATCTTTTTTATTAAAAAAATATTTTTTGGTTTAAATAAATTAAATTAAATAATATTTATTTTATTCTTTTTTTATCACTTAAATTACTTAAAGAAACCGGCGCCAGCTGAAGAATATGCCGACGAATAGGCGTTGGCAATACCGCCACCAAAACCACCAATTTGGTAACCTCCATAGGCTGGATATCCACCGTAGCCAATGCCACCATAACCAAGACCACCATAACCACCATAGGCTGGATAACCTATTCCGCCGAATCCATAACCGCCATAATATTGACGAGCTTGTCGGACGTGCTCAATATCCGAATCTCCAGATGTGGCAGCATCTACAGCCTCCAAAGCGATTTGAGTTTCACTGTCAATGGGCAAAGCCCAGCTGTTGTAGGCCACGCAAAGGCAAAGGGCAACGATAACGAACGATTTCATTTTGTGAACTGAATATGAAACCTCTAAGACTTGTGGCGAGAGTTCGAATCTGTCTGCCCTGGTCGCTGCTTTGCAATTTTATATCGATTCACGTTGGGACAAACAACATATTGTTCAAACGGTGAATACGCAATAGTTTTCATAGTTAAATGGTTGTTGAATGGCTAACAAAGGGTTGACAAACTTAACAGAAGAATGGCTTGTGGGTAAAATATTATTTTATTATCACCAATCGCCAATTCACATCAAATCTTTTGACAACTGTGTGTGTATTTGTGAGTTTAAATTATTAACATATATATTTTGCTAATATGAAAATTTCCATAGTTAATAGTTGGCAAAAACCTGTTCATCTCTTGTTAAATACAAGTATTGTAAAGAAATATGAAGTTGTTTTTTTTTTGATAATGTTTAGTTTTGAATAGATTAAAACACAATGCTAGGTATTACATAAATAATTTTCGCAATATTTCAAATGGAGCTTAAAGTTGTTCATTCCAAACACACTCACTGGAATAAAAGTCCTGCCAAATATCGTGGAGTAACATATTTATTTTGAAAAAGCGAATATTCAAATTGTATATTTTTAAAATATTTAATTTTTTATTTTTTAAGTTTATATTCCAATGTTAATATTAAAAAAATATAATTCTTTTCCATGACAAACCGTTCACAGCCAGGATTCCACAAATAAATTGGAATTGCAATCAATCTACCAAAATTAAAATAAATATTTTAGAGAAACATTCAGATACAGTTATGCTACATTATATTCAATTTCATTGAAAAAAAAAAAAAATACCCGGGCCAATATTGGGACTTGTTTAATTCCACCCGGAGAACATAATCTGAGACGGACATTTTCCAGGAGCATAATAGGAAACCTAAATCTGAGCTATACCGGTAAGGAATGATTATAGGAGAGAAATCGGCATGAAATAATACAATTTCTATAATCGGCGTTAAGTTTGTGGAAAGCAAAATTAAAATATCTAAATAAGTAAAAACGACCCGGCCCAACTTTTTATACACTTCACCATGAGGATGACAATCAAATATGTATCTAGAACTAATGTGGGCTTCTAAGAGAAAACTCATGTTATCAAAGGGCCTTGAAGATGATCAAAATTCTCAAAACATCTAAAAGTTTGACCATAATAAAACGGAGATCTATATTGATATTTTTTGGTAGTGAGATTGGACAACCAATGTGAATACAAAACACCAAATAACAGCCAGTTCGGTTGGAAAACCTGTCCAAAATCCCCCAAAATAACGAGTAATGGGGGCAACGTCATATGGGGCCTACCCTGAAACTTGGTTCAATATTAATAATTTTTGTTACGGATATGTGTTATTCAATGAAAACTCATAATACAAAATAACAACCAGTTCGGTTGGAAAAAACAGTCGTGTGATTTCGGGGTCGTTTTTGGCCAGAACTGAATCTACATGCAATATTTTGTGCATATTGGTCCAAAATATTGTGGCCAGGCGGAAGGTCAAACATGACTAAATTGATTCACATAATCGATATATCGATATACTTAAAGGTGAGTCTAGGGCCAATATTTAGCGTAAAAAAAAACTCTAAAACCACACATAAAGCTATAATACCTTACACCATAGTCGTGTAGGATATAAAAATTGTGTTCGATTGATAACCCAAAACTGGGAACAGCTATAATACCTTCATAAGCATGACCGTGTAATGCTAGTCTCTTGAATATCTTTTAGGAGACTACGTTATCTTAAAAACCCGTAAGGAAAGTAGTAAAGTCGGAGGGGCCGACTATATGATACTCTTCAGCACATTCAATAGATGGGCCTTAACAGACGTCTCATTTTTGAAGGGCCATTGACATGAAATTGCACGAAGTTAAATACTAAAATCAATCTATGTACATGTCATTCTGCAATCTATGCTAAATTTTATTTCATTTGTGCAGATTTACAGTCGTACAATGGGACACAATTTTGTAAATCGATTTAAAGCATATATGACAAAAGCTATTCGATATTCTACACCACAGCGCCCTGTGTAATATTAATTTAACATTAATCGGACATCCGTTGACTATTTGCATCACAATTAATTGAAGTCGATCGATAATATATATGGGAGTTATGCCTGTACCAATCTGCACCAATTTCTACAAAACTCAAAAACGTTATTTTAGGCTCCATTTTTACGGTGTGCGAAATTTTGTATCAATTTGATAAAAATTGCGAGTGTGAAGCATCTATACCTAAAATTCGACGAAATTATAAATGAAAGCTATATCTAAATCTGAACTGATTTTCACCAATTTCAATAGGGTTTGTCCTTGGGCCAAATAAACGAACTGCACCAATTTTCATTCAAATCTGATCATACATCCAACTTGTGCTTTTTTACAATTTTACATCAACTGATGGACATGCATAAATCTCAAAAACTGATGCATAAAAAAAAAACAATTAAAAAAGTGTCAGTCGGTGTTGTCGACATATATACCCTCAACCTATGATTTGCGGAGGTCGCCGAATTACGCACAAGTTTTGAAGATTATTCAAATTATTTTTCATATTTGATTATAGGAATTTTTTTAGTTATTTAAAGTTAAAGTTATTGGCTGTTGTATATACAACATCCAATAGTCTATTTTTACACGACATAATTTGAAATAACACGAATACAAAAAAAAAAAAAAAAACAAAATTACTTTTTTTACATGAACTATTTACTTATTGAAGAAAATTCTGGAATGCTTTTGCTCAAACATCCCTGCCTTAATAAGAGTAACAACCCTGCATGGCATGAATTTCTAATATGGCAACATTTTATGTAATTCTGGTGTGTACTTGGCCAGTACCTTTTTTTACATGAATTTCTCGGGAACCATTCTATCGTGTAAAAACAGAATTAGGTGTATTGTGTATTTATCGATTTGATTGTAAGGAGCAAAAGGTAACAAGACTGGTCTATAATTAATATGGGGTATAATATAGATTCAAAACACTGTTAGTATATGTCGGTCAATATGTTACACACATATTTATAATTGACCTTTAGCCTTTTTATAGAAAAAATAAATAAATAAAATGAGTATTTTTATACTGGAAAAGTTGCATATTCAAAATAAACATGTTTAGAATTCTTATTTCTTGGTCGAAAATATAGTCATGAAAAACTAGGTTAGGATCCAAAATTTATATATTAAAATAGCCATTTCGTTTAAAAATTATAGTTATTATCTTCGTTTTCTTTTTTTCTCTTATTTAGTCAGTTATTTATCTCATTATGTTGCTCAATTCAGGCTCTCTAAAAATTTGAAATGAAAACGTTTTTTCTTTACATGCAATATTTGTTTTTTATTTCATAGAACAATAATTAAACCTCTGAAGGGTATAAAATGATTCTACCCTGCCGAAAATAACACTATTTTTAATTCATTACTAGTTTTCCTTTTTTATTGTAGGTGCGAATTACTAGAGCAATCATAACAATTGGCTTGGTAAAGATAATAGGTGGTGTACATTTCTTTCGCCTAATATTTAATTTATATACATTGACAAATTATGCCCTTTATAGGAGAGGTACCAGAAGAAGTCGACCAATGGGTCCCATCTTGGATATATAGATTGTAAAAAGTTTGGTTCGAATCGGATAGTCCGATCGCATGCTATTATAAAATTATTTTTTTTAAATGTTGATCATTTGGTTGGGGAGGTACTAAAAGAAGTGGACCGAAATTCGAACTTGAAGTAAGTTTGGAAGAAATATTACGATATTCAAATTTCGGATGAAATCGATTACTCCCTTCGAAGTTATCATGCGCATCAGTCGGCCAGACAAATGAACGGACGGACATTTGTAAATCGACGCAAAGTTGTCTGCCGTACCAAAGTGTATATACCCTCATTAGCCATAAGGCTGATTGACTTGAAGTTCTCAGATTTCGTCTTTAAAATTTTAGCTTTCCAATTATACGAGGATAGTTAGGAAACCTCTTAGACTAGCACAAAAGGCGCAACATAAACAGAAAAAAATTAAGTGTTTTGGAAACTTCCATCTCTATTATGGACACATGTTACATTTTGTTTCGATCTGACAACTCCTTCATATAAAAAACAGGTGTTCAAAAAGACACATCCGAAATTTTTTTAAATTGAAAAATTAGAAATGCGTGCTGTCATGAAATATTTATATAAAAAAGGTTTATCGGGGCAAGAAATTCATGATGATTGTTTTAAGCGAAATAAAATGGATTTTAAGCGTTGTTTCATAACTGTTGATGAGACGTGGATCCCTGACTTTATTCAGAGACAAAAGGACAATCCAAACAATGGACTGAAGCTGGAGGAAGTGTCCCAAAGAAGGCAAAAACAATTCAATCGGGTGGTAAGGTTATGACAACGGTTTTTTTGGGACTAGGTATTTTATTGATTGGCTATCTGCAAAAGGGTAAACAATAAATTCAGAGTACTATTGCAACCTTGACCACCTTATTCTTCTGATTTAGGTTCCAGTGACTTACTTTTTCCCAAATCTCAAAAAAATTCCTTGCTGACAAGCGTTTTACCTCAAATAAGGATGCAATTGAAAAACTAACTATTCCCTTTCATTGATAGGCTAAGAAATTTCCGAACCGCCTTCGTAAATACGTTTTACTTCTGATGCAAGCACATCTGATCTGTATATATTTTTGAATAAAAAATTTGCATATTTATGATAATCTCCTAATTTAAATTGTTGCACAAATAAGAAAAAAAAACAATACGTCATAACAAAAGACTTAAGAAACAAACTTTTGTTTGTATTGTCTTCAGACAAATAAAAGACGACCACAAGTCAAATAATGAAACAAATTGATGTTTTTTATTTAATTTTTGATAATAGATTCTCTCACTTTTGTTGCAAAATTCATTGTAGCTGCAAAATGTTTGTGATATGGCGAAAGTATTTTTATATACGAGTGTTAAGACAATAAAACGGGTTCATAATATAAAGATAAATG